TGTTTTACATGTTATTTTTACATTAAAAAAAGAGAATTGTGATGATGAGAGAAGCACGAAAGACAGTGCAATTCGTTGTTAAAGGCTGCCGCTTTGATATGCTGACAACTGAGGATAGCAACATATTTACTCAAGTTCTGACCTAGATTCTGGGGATGTAAAAAAAAGACTACATGGATCCAGACTTAATGGGGCTCATAGACTTAGTGGAGGGAGAGCAGTAAATATAAATAGAGAGATGTGTGAAACATGGGAATGCAAAAGAGGAAGTTCTTCATCCTGTCTGAGGAGGCCAGGAAAGGCTTTTAAGGTGACATGTAAAATTAGTCTCAAAGAATAAATAAATGTTCTCTAAAAAGTATAGAAGAAACAATATGTACAAAGAAAGAGCACAGCCTGTGTGTGTGTGTGTGTGTGTGTGTGTACATACACACATATATAGACAAGGCTGTATTACGTATGGCAGCTGTGAGCATGGGGTATGATGTAAAGTTTAAGATGTACACAAGAGTCAAATCATAAGGAATATAAACTTGATCCCATAGATATTGGAAGGTTTTTCAAAGACTTTCAGTTAGGGACCTATACAGTCATTTTTTATCTGCTTATTTGTTTTCTAACTGAACCTTAGATGCAAATAGTTGATTATTCCCCTTCATTTCTGGCACATTATCATTTTTTGTCAGAGAAGGCTCCTCTCCCATTCTTTCTAATCTCCAGGCTTCATCCCATTCTTTGCCCCTTTATAAACAATAGTTCTTTTTAATAAACATTATTTTGTTTATATGTTTTTACAAAATGTGTATTTTTTTGTGGACGCATTTCTAATTTATGTGAATGACATAGTATTCTGTATCTCATTTTTTGCTTTTCTCCCCAAGCACAGTGTTTTTAATATCAATTCATGTTGCTATATAGATATATAATCTACTGTTTCCAGTCACTGTTTCTAATTACCATGTAATTAAAGTGGCCAAATAATTTATAACCTAAATCATGAGAGTAAAAGGGTGCTATTAATAATTGTACCAGAATAACAGATCAAACAGGACTGTACCAGCTCTACCAAGATATATGGCCATCCCATGCTCCTAAATTCAATGACGTTCCACCATGACATTTTATTGATCTGCTCTTCCGGGGATAGGCATCCAGGTTGTCTCCAACTCCCTGCTATCAATAATAGTTTCAAACAGTCTCACACAGGTTCCCTTATGGGCCTATGTGAGATTTCTTTGTTAGCCAAAAAGATGTCTGCAATGATCTGTAAATTTCTAATATAAGTAATTATGAGGATAATGAAAAGATAAGCAAAAAGACAAAGCAAGAAATTGCAAAGCAATGTTTGGAGAATAGAGCAGTAGAGCACATAAGTTAGAATCAAAGGTTTCAGTAGGGGAATAATAAAAGGTATGGCTGGAAAGGCTACTTTTTGGCAAACTGAGGGAAGGTCATGTTTGCTATGAACTTTATCTTGACAGTAACTGAGAGTCATTGAAAAAGTTTTTAAACAAGGGTGTGGGATGATGGAAATGATATTCTAAGAGGGTATATCTGCTGATACTGAATCAAATGTACAGCAGAGACATGAGAAATGAGAAAATTTATTAAGGGAATATATGAAAGCCAGTAGTAGCGAAGCACTTAGCTATAATACAGTATGGACTTTGAAGCCAGAATGTCTGGGTTCAAATCTAGTTGTACCACTTACTAGCCTTATGATCCCATTTAAACTCCGTGTGTCTCAGTTTCTTAAATTAGAGATATTATAGTACCTTCCTCCAAGAGCTGAATTTCGAGAGCTTATAACAGTTCTTGGCACATAACTGCTCTCAATGTTAGTTATTGTTATTGTTGTTGCTAATATAAGTGTTGTTGCTGTATAGTCCATAATTGAGATCAATTTAAGCAAATCTGGTGGTAGAACACCTTGAACACCTGGAACTCATGCCCTGAATAAAGTATCCTAATAACACCTAGTGTGTCTTTCACAAACCCCTACCTTCCACAGTAAGAAAATCTCCCAAAGGTCTTAGAGCTTAGAATAAGGCAAAAAGATATTCTTGAAAAAACAAACAAACAAAAAAAAACACCTGCTGGTCCTCACTATGTATAGCTTGCTAACTCCTAAGCCAGGCATTACAATAATGTAATATTCAAGGTGATGATAAATTATAGTTGCCACAAATATAATGGTTAAATGTCAAATGCTATTTAATATTTATTCCTTTTTTCTGGGGACTATGTGTTTTACTCTTTAATTGGCATAGGCTTATAACACAGCTATTAAGCTGTCTTTTCAGAAATATAAGTTTTTGAAGAAAAAAAATTTCCTCACCTAAGTGGTAAATAACTCTAAGATTAAGCAATGGAAGATCAGGCTTTAGGAGCTGCTGGAATTGAATAATTAGCTTCTGAATGGTTCCTTATCAAAAAAACCTGAGAATGCTGGACTATAGCACTCTTTCAGTATTCACTGGTTAGTGTAACTCTATTCTAAATAGTTAGGAAATGTAATGATTAGTATAAACTAAATAATACTAGAGCAATGTGATCACTCCCATTGAAAATAACAAAAACATTTTTCTAATTTCAATGTAAAACTGTATGCATTCTGGTCCTGAAATATGGCCACAAACTCTCAAATAGTTTGCAAAAAATAAGCAAAAAAAATGGGATTTATGGACCTAAATAAAACTTAATTTTATGCATAATAAAATTTCATACATTTAAAGCATAGATATAATTACAGTCCCACTTAGATGCAACATTTTTAAAGCAATATTCTAAAATAACAATCCAGAGGCAATCTCTAATCTCTCTGATCTCTCACAACACTGGGTTTACATCACACGCTACTCTGTATTTTAGTAATCTAGTAATCTGTATGCTTGTCTTCTTTTGTATCTGATTATAAACTCTTTAAGGTAAGAGACTGTGGCTAATTTACCTTTGGATCTACTACACATGTAGTATTCTGCTACAGTTGGTAAGCAGTTAATATTGCTTAATGATAAAATCTATTAAAAATCACATTCAGAAATGAATTCTGTGCTTATCATCATAACATAGGACGTTTATCTATATCCTTTTAATTCATTAAATTGTATTTTCTAAAATGCTGTAAAGGTTTTTAAATGCTTAATATAACTTCAAACGTTTTAAAAATGGTTTAATTAGAAATCTCAATTTTCTAAAAATTTGTATGATTTTTCTTAATGACACTATATGTTCTTCAAAGAAATTGTATGTCACTCCTAATTTTAGCATCATATAGAAAGTTCAGCTTCCACCCTCCTACATTTGAAGGTGTCATTAATACTAAAAATCTGAATCTATCATATGTAATGTATGAAAACTTAAACATTGAATGATTCTAAGATGATAAGGCAGTCCTTTCACACTTTTAGCCCTAAAAACACTTATAAAGAAAAGTTTGATTAATTCTTCCCTTATCACCCTCCTCCTCAAATATTTTACTATGCTCTTGGCTTCCTTCATCCATCCACCCAGCAAAACCTACCCTCAGGAAAAGGTCTGAAACTCAATCACACTGAAGAGGCAAAGGACAATTACAACTCAGTGTGAGAGCCTGATGTGGGGCCCTGTCCCTGGTTTCTGTGCCAGGTATGCTAATGTCTCTGTTTCCTAAGTCTCTGTTTCCACATGTATCAAATGAAAGTAGTTAGAATTAATGTTTCTTAAAATCCATTCCAGCCCAGGTTATTGCCTTTAGGAACAAACATTTGCAGCCTTCTGCATCATTCATTCGCTATTGTATGTAGCATCCGAGATAAGTAATACTGTAACTTCAATCCTTATTCATTAAACTTACTCTGTGCCAGACACTACTGGGTCCTTGCAGCATCAGTGCTTGCAGAGATCTACTAGGTGATAGAGAAAAAGGGAGGAAAAGACAACTAAGGAAGTAAAGAGATCAAAGAGGCAATGCTTAAGCTCCCTTCGATATAGTAAAAATTTCCCAAACTTGGGCAGGAGAACTAAACACTTTTTTAAAGGGGAATGGCGTGTACAAAGGCAGCAACGTGAAGGGCACATCGAGTGTTTTCGGCAGCTGAAGGCTGCGTACCACAGGACAAATGTTCACAGTCCCTATCCCAATTAGAATTTTGCACGCGTCCTGGGATTATTTGATTAACGCGTGTCCCTTGCCAGGCCACAAATTCATTAAGTGCAGGAACAGCGTCTACGTTTGCCCACCATAGTCTTCCCAGTCTTACCCACTGTCTCGTGCTTAATAAATGTTGAAGAATTAAACAAAGGGTCCGCCCCAGAGTATGTCAGGTCCAAACATCTTGAAGACTGAACTGTGTTCACCAAAAAGAAGTGCGGTGCCTTCTGAAGCCAAATGGAGTTTCTGGGAGAGTCAAATCTTTGAGCGGGGCTCTCCCTTCGCACCGACACCCCTCGGGGACACCCTCCGGGACCCTAATCACCGCCGAGTCACCGAGCTCTCGGAGGGGGAGAGAGCTGGACTGGGCTAACAGCCGCCTAGAGGCTCTGCCAGGATTCTCGAGATCAGCGATGCCGGTCACGGCCTCAGGCTACGGTACCCAGATATGCAGTATTTGGACAGTGTGGAGAGAAAACAGCCTGTTTAATTTCCAGGCTGATAGGCGGAGAAGATATAGCACATCTCCAGAACCTACAGAGTTCCCACAGAGCTACGCTCGGGTCCGGCTCGGAAACGCCCGGTACATGCGCAGTACAACTCACTGGACAGCCCGTGGCCTCTCCCAGGCGAAGAGATAGAGCCCCCTCTACCGGGCCCCCGCGACCTCGACTCTCCGTCCCTCGCGATCCCACGTCCCAGCCACGCCCAGACTCGCGAGAGGATGAAGTCTCAAAGGGCTCTACGGAACGGAATTTCGCGTATTTCTAGTTCCTACACGGAAGGATTTTGATTCACCGGAATAGATTGGCAATAAAGTGCAAAAGCGAAAAGGGAAGTGCTCCTAACGAGACAAAGCCTACGGGGCCTAGCGGAAGTCCTGGTTCACACGCCACGCGGAGAGGATCCTGGGGGCCGGAAGGAGGTGGAAACCGTAGCCGACCGGTTCATCTGTACGCTCTGCCGGGAGTAGAGCGCGTGGCGGTTCCCGGAGGCGTGTTGCTGGAGCGCGTGGCTCGTGCGCGGAGGTCAAAGGTGGCCAAAAGCCGGACGTCGGTGTAGAACTTGAGATCGTGAGTTATGGTGGGGAGGTCGCGGCGGCGCGGAGCGGCCAAGTGGGCCGCTATGCGAGCCAAGGCAGGTCCCGGCCCAGCGGACGACAATGAAGACGACTCAGAATTGCCACCCTCTCCAGGGGACTCCAGCTACTATCAAGATAAGGTAGATGATTTCCATGAGGCCCGATCGCGCGCCGTCTTGTCTAAAGGCTGGAGCGAAATGGAGAGTGGGGACGAGGAGGAGGATGGCGATGAGGAGGAGGAGGTTCTGGCCCTAGATATTGCTGATGAGGACGATGAAGATGGAGAGAGTGCGGGGGATGAAGATGAGGATGACGATGATGGTGGGAGCTCCCTGCAGAGTGAGGCCGAGGCATCTGTGGATCCCAGTTTGTCGTGGGGTCAGAGGAAAAAACTTTACTATGATACAGACTACGGTTCCAAGCCCCGAAAACGACAAAGTCAACAAGAAGTGGAGGAGGAGGAAAAAGAGGAGGAAGAGGAAGCCCAGCTCATTCAGCGGCGCCTTGCCCAAGGCCTGCAAGAGGATGATTTTGGGGTGACCTGGGTAGAGGCCTTTGCAAAACCTGCACCTCAGGAAGATGAGGCCGAGACCCGGGTCGTGAAGGATCTGGCGAAAGTTTCAGTGAAAGAGAAGCTGAAGATGCTGCGGAAAGAATCACCAGAGCTCTTGGAACTGATAGAAGACCTGAAAGTTAAGTTGACAGAGGTGAAGGATGAGCTGGAGCCGCTGCTACAGTTGGTGGAGCAAGGGATCATTCCATCTGGAAAAGGAAGCCAGTACTTGAGGACCAAGTACAATCTCTATTTGAACTACTGCTCCAACATCAGTTTTTACTTGATCCTGAAAGCCAGGAGAGTCCCTGCACATGGACATCCTGTCATAGAAAGGCTTGTTACCTACCGAAATTTGATCAACAAGTTGTCCGTTGTAGATCAGAAGCTGTCTTCTGAAATTCGTCATCTCCTCTCATTTAAGGATGGTGCTGGAAAAAAAGAACTAAATTTAAAAGCCAAACCCACCAAGGCCAAGCCAAAATCTGTTTCAGAGACTGTTGCTGCTGCCTCTGCTGTTACAGGTATTTCTGATGATTCTGATTTTGATGAAGAAGCTGCACTGAAATACTATAAAGAAACAGAAGATAAGCAAAAGTTGAAGAGAAAGAAAGATAATGTCGAAGAACAGACTCTTGAAGATCAAAATGCAAAGAGAGCCATTACCTATCAGATTGCTAAAAATAGGGGACTTACACCTAGGAGAAAGAAGATTGACCGGAATCCAAGAGTTAAACACCGCGAGAAGTTCAGAAGAGCCAAAATTCGCAGAAGAGGCCAGGTTCGTGAAGTTCGTAGAGAAGAGCAACGTTATACTGGTGAACTCTCTGGCATTCGTGCAGGAGTTAAAAAGAGCATTAAGCTTAAATAAAATTTTCACCTAGCTTAAGTTTTTTTGGCAGTAATTTTAGATCAATAAATTTTTATTTTTAACTGAAGTTATTGTGTTGATATATAATACCTAACCCTAAATTTTAAAAATTCTTCTCGACAGGGAAATTTGGGTTATTGCTCAATTTTCTTTCTTTCTTTCTTTCTTTCTTTCTTTCTTTCTTTCTTTCTTTCTTTCTTTCTTTCTCTCTTTTTCTTTCTCTTAATAGTTTATTGTCAAGTTGGTTTCCATATAACACCTAGGGCTCATCCCCACAAGTACCCTCCTCCATTTTTCTTTCTTCCTTCCTCTCTCTTCTTATTTTTTGATCCTTTAAAGTCATAAATTCATACTAAGAAATAGTATGGAAGTACTTTTATATTTGGAAGCAATATGAAAGTACTTGGGAAAAACGATGCAGTTGAAAAAAGTTCTCCAGTATTCTTTCAAGTAGTAGCCTATGAGAATTTCACAGCTGGTTGTGGAGCAACAGTCAAACTTAGAATACTTGCATCATTTTTCTTGTAAAGTGAAAAGAGTGCACCTTTGCAATCATCTTATTTGTAAGAGTCTGTAAAATAGTTCAGACATATATTTCACTTACCTAAGTGTAATTCTTGAGCAGGATACTTGTTAATAAATAGGTTGGTCACCTTAAAGATTTTGTATATTGTGTGTACTAAAAGCGTAGGAATGTAGAGTAACTTTGGTTAAAAGTAGAGATGCTTTAATTACATTAATTGTGATCATTTTCTAACAGGGGTGACCTATTAGTAATGTGGTAAATAAGGTAAAAATTCTATTTTCCATACTGTACTGGTGACTTGCAGCAGTTGCTGTTTTGTATACTCTCATTTGCTAAAAATTTGGTAGGATTACCTACTGCTAGGTAAGTAACAAATTTAAATGGTAAAAAAGTTACATTTTTCTTTAGTTATTCTTGTTTTATGATAGGAAAGAGATGCTGAGACAGCAAAGTTAAAAAATACTTATTTTGGGGAGAGTGCAAAGGTGGGGAGGAGCAGAGAGGGGGACAGAAGATCCAAAGTGGGCCCTGTGCTGACAGGCTGACAGCAGCAAGCCCGATGTGGGGCTTGAACTCATGAACCACAAGATCATGAGCTGAGATGAAGTTGGACACTCAATCAACTGGGCAACTCAAGTGCCCATGAGATAGTGAACTTAAAAATAGTTGGGGTGATGCCAGGGAAGGAAATGACAGGTCTAGTGAAGGAAAGCACAAAAGATGTTCTAACTATGCCACTGTTCCTTCAATAATATCTCTAGCTGCTAGAGATGCAGAGATGGTCACTGGTTAATATTTATTAAGCTATTGCCATGTACCAGTTGTGTGTCACCTAATTTAACTTTTACAATAACTTTGTGAGGTGTGGTACTGTTCTCCGTATATCATTTATGTGGATGCTGAAGTTCCAGGAGGTTAACTTGAAAAAAGACACAGCCTTGGGATTTGGACCCAGACAGGCTTAATAGGAGCCTTCATTATCTTTCTCTGTGGCTTATAGCTCCTTCCTCAGGAGCACACTTGTCAAATTATTTTATCTTTTGTTTCCTTATAAAGAGGTTGGTTAGAAATAAAATGAACACTTGGCGCTAAGGTACTTTTGTAATCACTTTATTTGTACTTTGTTATTCCTCACAAATTCTACTATCTATATTTTAAAGATGAGGAAACTGTGACCCAGAAAAACCACTTTCTCAAGGTCATGTAGCTATTAAGTAGCTGGATTTCAATCCAGCCTTTCTGGCTTCAGAGCCCCTTCTACACTTCCTTTTCTGATATAGTAGAAAAAGTACAGGTTTTGCAGTTAGTAGAGTGCTTTTGCATTAATTACTTGGCCCTCAGACTCATTTTCTTTGTCTTCATCTTGGTCTAACTTGGAGATGATATAACGATAGTTAAGAGCTGTGAGATAATACAAAATATATGTATTAGCTCTGCCCCCCATTCTTGGCACAGAGTTCCTAAACCCTTTGTTAACTCCCAAGTGATAGCACTAGGAACATCTTTTTGTTTTTTTTAATGTTTGTTTATTTTGAGAGAGAGAGAGCACACACATGAGCAGGGAAGAGGTGGGGGGAGGGGGAGAGTGGGGGGAGAGAAAGAATCCCAAGCAGGCTCCACACTCAGTGCAGAACCTGACCTGGGGCTCTATCCCACTACTATGGATAATCTGAGCTGAAATCCAGAGTCCAATTCTTAACCACCTGAGCCAACCAAGCACCGCTTGGAGCATCCTTTGATCTAATGAGGTGACTGAGTGGGCTCTTGCATGGATCTTGGATGAGGGCTGATCACCAGAAATACCAGGCCATAATTAGAAGCTTGGAATTTTAAGCCCCACTCTCCATTCCCTGGAGAGGGAAGAAAGGCTGGAAATGGAATTAATGATTGATTGTGCTTATGTGAGAAAGCCTCCATAATACCCCAGCAGTATGAGATTCAAGGAGCTTCCAGATGGGTGAATGCATCCACACTGGGAGGGTGATACACTCCAACTCCATAGGGACAGAAGCCTCTGCTTGGCACCCCACACCTCACCCTATACATCTTTTTATCTGACTTTTCTTCTGTATCTTTTATCATATCCTTTAATAAACTGGTAAACATACATGTTTGCATGAGTTCTGTGAGCCACTCTAGTAAATCAGCTGGACCCAGGGAGGAAATCATGGGAATCTCAGATTTATAGCTCATCAGTCAGAAGCATGGTAACAACTTGAACTATCCAGGTAGAGAGTGTCAGAAGTGAGTTAAATTGTACAGCACCCAACTGGTGTCACAGAATGGCTCGGTGGGGGAAGAACTCACATCTGGTGTCAGCAGTATTTTGTGTATAGCAGTAAAGGAGAAACACAGGTGTAAAACAGTTTTCCCAATTTGAGGGTAGACTAGACTATCCAAGTTCCTAGCCCAAAATCACTGAGTCTGTGATTTTGGTTACGTCATCTCTCTGTTCCTTAGTTTTTTCATCAAACAAGAGTATTATGAGTAGTGTTACCTACTTCATACAGTTTTTACAAGGATTAATGAAACTTAGAAAAATGGCTATTATACAAAACTCACCTAGTAAGTGTTGGCTTTAACTATAGGGTTGTGAGAACACATCTCACACGCAGGTGCTCAGTGAATTGTAGCTAATAATATAGTGATTCCTATCATTACAGGAATATAAAGAGTAGTGTAGTCATATGTAAAAGTGATTGAGAAATTGAATATCCTAGGTTTAGAAGAAGAGGGGAGCACTGGGTGAACACTTGAAGGAATATAAATTCTGGCACAAGACAAAATCTGGCACAAGACAAAAAGCAAGGGAATGAAGTTAGAGGTTAAAAATATCTGATGCTGTATGTCAAATCCCTGCCAGATGTACAACATTGTGGTGAGGAAAAGATGTTTTAAAGGAAGAAAAACCGGGGCACCTGGGTGGCTCAGTCGGTTAAACGTCCAACTTTGGCTCAGGTCATATTCTCGTGGTTGGTGGGTTTGAGCTCCGCATCAGGATCTGTGCTGACAGCTAGCTCAGAGCCTGGAGCCTGTTTTGGATTCTGTGTCTCCCTCTCTCTCTGCCCCTTCCCCGCTCATGTTCTGTCTCTCTCTGTCTCAAAAATAAGTAAAAACTGAAAAAAAAATTGTTAAAGGAAGAAAAGCCTTCCATTTAGGAAAGTGGAAAAAAGTTAAGCCTGTTAAATATTCTCCCAAATGTCCCAAATACTTCTTCAGAGACCTCACAATACATTATAAACATAATTCATTCTGGAATAGCTAGGATATAGATGGTGCTATCCTAATTCCAAATATAAAAAATGGCCTTGCCTGATGTGAAGTGATAGCTAAAGAAGTAACAAAGACTGCTGTATATAATATTCATGTCACCCAAAGTTTGTATTTACTCAGACATTTTTTAAAGAGCACTGAGATGTGCTGGGTACCATTGTAACTCGGGAATCATAAATTGATAACTACTCAGCGTGATCACTTACCATAGTGACTCCTTTGGGGATTCTGTCTGGGGAGTCTCACGGGTAACAGTTCAATAAAATAGATTACTGGTTTCTGGCATTAGTACAAAGCAGCAACCTGTTTTCCATCAGCATGTTAAGGTATGGGTTAACTACTGAAAATTAAAATATTAAAAATTAAAGTAGAAGAAAATACCAAATTAGTGATACAGTGACTTACTCTACCTGCTGACTAGCTTTGATGTAGTTTCTCCAAGCCACAGTTTCTTACCTATATTCTTATAAAGGAATTCATGTATCCCTTTCATTTTTGTGTAGAAATAAATTTATTTAGCAGACCTCAATGGTCAAAGCTTTTTGGCAAACTGGGGAATTACTTTCTGTGATCTTACACATAAAAAATAGCTTTGGCAACTTGAATAATTATATTCACATATCTGACACAAACGAATAAATTCCACATCTGAGGAATGGCTGGAGTTACCTATTCCTTGTCTGAAGTAAAAAATTTTTAAGTTAATATGTTACAGTAATATAAGTTAACATTACCTAAGTAATTCAAGAAAGGTGAAGGTGAGTATAATTTACATCTCAGAGATAACAATGAGGAACATGTACCACTGTCTGAATAGTAAATGATCCCGAAAAAAATAGTTGAATCACGTAGGATTCAACTAAAGTTCCAGATTATTCAAACTGAATGTTGCTTCAGGTCATAAATCAGAGTTTAAAAAAATTCTTTTAGATAGTGATTCTTTTTAACACATTTGCATTTTGCCATTAAATGTTTGAACACAGAGACAGTATAAAAAATTTACCACCACCCAAATCAACAAACATTAACATGTATGTTTTAACTTATGCTTAAAGTATGGGGCACATGAGTGGCTCAGTTGGTTAAGTATCTGACTTCAGCTCAGGTCATGATCTCGCAGTCCATGAGGTTGAGACACTTTGGGCTCTGTTGACAGCTCAGAGTCTGGAGCCTGCTTGGGATTCTGTGTCTCCCTCTCTCTGTCCCTCCCCCACTCATAATCTCAAAAATGAGTAAATGTTAAAAAAAATTTTTTAAATAAATTTTGC